TTAGGGTTATGGCAGCAAAGTCAACTCTCGCCAGCAAGTAGAATCCGCTCCGATACCAATGTTACGATCCTGGCCAATTTCGAAGTATACAAACATCAGAAAGTACAATGTCGTACAGTGTCGTCCAATTGCAACAAAAAATGAATGAACTTGAGAGGAGAGAGATAAAGAAGAAGAAAAAAAAGTAAAAAAGAAAAAGAACATGATGTACTCCAGCATAGACCAATGGCAAGACTCTTCTTCCTCGCCAACCAATCTCCTCTTAATGTTGAATGGCTGAAACCAGAATCAATGTATGAATCCCACTTCTACTGCAGGCACAACATGAGGTCTATCATAGCCATGGCCATCCTTCCTCTTCCTCTACGTACAAGCCGAGGCTATGGCGGGGTACTGAGGGCTCTCCCTCCTGTCCAAAGGACAACCCAAAGCAGCTATGCCGCTGCCGTTCTGTCCCCAGGTCAACTCCATGCAGCTATGTTGCTGCCCACTCAACCGCCATGCCTGACTCTGTCCCGAGCTTCCTTGATGTGGCACTACCCCCACTGGGGCCTGCAAGATGCAGCGCCTAACAAGGTGATGAAGATGGTGTCTACCATAGCCAGGTAAGTACCCCACCACTCTCCTTCTTGGTCCCCTTCTCCCTCGTCCTCCTACCGGTAGAGCTCCACCATAGCCAAGGTGGAAGCTCCCGACTTCTTCCTCCCAGCAACGCTCTAGTACTCAGCGCCACTCCAGCCAGCGCTCCAGCAGCGTGTCGCCAAACTTGCACACTGAAGAATGAGGCCGAGGTCTTGCCTCGGCATCTTGATATAGAGGCATGCTTGCGTCCTGGGCGGTGACTTCCAGGCCGCTCGGCTTCCCAAGCAACCGGTACCTCCTCCCTTTCGGAGCGAAATATCATTGCAGACTCTGATATTGCCCGTACAGGCTATAGACTCAAACTGGATGGACTTGTACCGGCCTAGACCTCTGGGCCTCTAAAAATGCGAACTTTGTCTTCTTCTGCTCGGCCTCGAGTACCCGACACATCTACTGCTACTGGGTGCGGTACCGGCCTACCTGCTACTTGAGTGTTTTTTCGCTTCTCCAAGCACCACGGGCCCCTGGCTCCGCTACTTGAGTGTTTTGCCTGCTGCAACCCTCAATGCCACGGCCACAAGTAAGTACCGGCCCTACGGGCCTGCCAAACAAGCAAGTACCCTTAGGGGTCACACACACACTCATGCCGACAAGCACTTAGACAGGCACGCACACATACAGACTTAGAAAACACAACAAAATGCGGGAATCTCAGCAAGGCATCCAGTGGATGAAGACACAACCTGTTCTTTCCGATGCACTCGAATGTTGGATTGAAGTTATTGATCAGTATGACTTCCAAGCTAGACTATGTGAAGGGAGAGTACAACAAGGTTGCTGATGCGCTGTTACATAGGGCAGATTACCTAGGTGCGCTAATAACCGAGTTTGGCTTATCTGTCAATGTGACTCGGTCAATGGTGGAAGCCTACAAGGAAAACCCTGTCACGATGGACATCATGCGCAAACTTGAGGCCCAAGACAAGTCACATCAGATGAGTTTGTGCTGGTAGATGGGTCACTCTTTCTTGAAAAGGCAGGATTCAAAAGATTACTTGTTCCATCTAGTGAAATTTTGCATAGTTTGTTTCTAGGTGAGTTTGCTACATGTCATTTCGGTTACAAAAAACTAGTGCTAACTTAGTACAGCGTTTCTGGTGGCTTGGTATGCTTGATGATGCGAAGAAGTACGTCCAGACGTGTCAGGTCTGTCAGTGGGACAAGCCGCGAGCTCAAGCTCCGCTTGGGTTACTCGAGCTCGTGCCCATTCCTGCAGGGTCGGGACAGAGTGTTTCCATGGACTTCATGGATACCCTCGTGACCAGCAAGAGTGGCAAGAGGCACATCTTCGTCATAGTCGACCGGTTCACTAAGTATGCAAGACTAATCACCATGCCCGAGACAACAAAGATTGACCACGTCATCAAGTTATTCATGGATAACTTGGTGAGTGACTTTGGACTGCCCAAAACCACTGTTGGTGACAAAGATGTCAGATTCACAAGTGAAAGGCGGACGAAGGCTGCTGAACAGATGGGCAGTCAACTCCAAATAACTTCGGGGAATCATCCCGAAGCAAATGGTAAAGCGGAACAAATAAACCGCATGGTGCAGCATCTGCTGAGGCATTACATCAAGCCCAGCCAAGATGACTGGGATGAGAAACTTCCTCTCATTGCTAGTCTGTACAATAACGCTGTACACAACACCACCGGTGTCAGTCCCAACCAGCTGCATTTGGGGTGGAAGCCTAGATCTGCTCTAGACTTCTTCCTACCTGAAAATCGACCCACTGCAACACCTAGAACTATTGAATTTGGTGTCCAGTATGAGAAACTGTTGCAGCAGGCTGTCGAGAATATAAAAAAATCTCAAGAGGCAATGATTGCCTCTGAGAACAAGCATAGAGGACAGTCCACATTTCAGGTAGGGGAACACGTCTGGATGAAGGCTAGCGAATTGGGACAGGAATTTGGCATCTCTAAAAAACTAATGCCACGGTACTTCGGTCCTCGGGAAGTCCTAGACATCGTGGGTAGTGATCTGGATAGTCCCTCGTACGTCAATATAAGAATCCCTAGTCATCTGCGGACTTATCCTTTATTTCACGCTTCCAAGCTTGCAATTTTCGCTGAGACAGAACAGTTCCCATCAAGAAGGTCAATGCTGCCCCCAATCATGGATGGCCACGTGGACGTCGACGATATTCTGGAACACAGAGACTTGCCTATTCCCAAGCCTTCTGGCAGAGGAAGACCGACCAAACCTATGTGTACTGGGTCAGGTTCAGGCATCATACAGATCCAAGAGAAGATCGTTGGTTCACAAGACAGGAGCTTGTCAAGACAACACCTCAGATCGTGGCTGAGTACGAACGAAGACTGAAGAGGAAGGCAGTTCAAGGCACCTGCGTAGAAGCATCTCAGCAGACCTTCGAGGCTAAGGGGGATGGAATGCGACGAATGAGCCTCGCAGTGCCCTTATCAGACATACAAGTGTGTTGGGTTGTGGCCCCTAGCAAGCCTCGTGCCCGCCCTAAGTGAAGGCGGGCCTGAATATCCACGTGACGCCTGTTCTCAACAATTTTTCCATATGTGGGAACTCAGACAGTTGCAGCACGCCAGTTGTTTACAAAACAACGTGAGCCTCCAGGCTCTTTCCAAAAGCAAAGGGCCGCACTGTACAGTTGAGCCCTGGGCTCAGGCGGGGCGCCCTGGGCACACACTTTGTGAGGCCAACACACCACAGACTGGTTACGGGTTAATGAGGAAGCAGCATTTTCACCACACACGGGCCGCGAGCCAATTAGAATGCTGCAAACACTTGGAGGCCGGGTGGCTGCCTGGACGTGCCTAACTGCACGAGGCCCAGCTCAGTTTTGGAAACTGGGCCTGGGCGCAGACACTTGGGTCCCAACTGAAGCTACGGGGGCCCCCACACGCCTGACCAGGAAAGCCAGCAGCGACACACTTTCCATAAAGGAAAGTGTGAGCCCCTGGCAGTGGCATTCTGGCCTTGGTAGGCAATGCGGACACGTTGCCGTGTTGCTGTGCTAGCATCTGCATGGGCCTGCTGGTCGGACGCGCGCACGGGTGCAGAGGTGAGGGGCGCTGCAAGGGCAGCGGGCGCACAGCAGCCATAGCCGCGCTGCAGGGGCGCAAGGCAGGTGATGGCGAAGGTGGTCTTCGGGTAGGAGGCGCATGCTGTGGGGACCGAGGGGTGATGACGAGAGGAGAGAACGTACCTGGTGTATGCTGGTGATCGGCATTGGTGTTGATGTCACGTACATTGGTCTTCAACTTCAGAGTGATCCAGTTGCAAGAACATAGATAGGATTCGATAGGCTGAGTAGGATAGGCTGGGCGCTGGGCGCCAGACAGTAGTGCGGCATTGGATACAGTGTTGGTGTGACCAGAGAGTAGCGGCATTGAAATTCAAGTTCGTTATATTGCTCTGACTTGATTGCACTCTCCGCTTGGTTCATGACTAACTGAGCTACTTCATGATTTTGCAACTTCGATTTTTCTTTTTTTTTTCTTTTTTTTGTGCAAGGCCTCTACCCCAGTGGTGGTAAGAGAACCGCCGGGATTGAGGCTTTGTCAGCGGGCCGCTCCATCTATTGGTGGGGAGCATCACCTGCTGGAAATCGGGTCCAGCATCCCTTTTTAAGAAAAAAACATGAGATAAGTTGAGAGAGAACACAGGTGCTGGAAACCGGGTCCAGCGTCCCATCACTGTCGGTCCTGCATTCCTAGAACTGAGGCCCAAGGCCAGGGTCCCTGGGGGACACCAGTGGTCCCTGTCTGCTCCCCGGCCCGCCTTCCAACAGGCCCTAACTATACTAACTGCACTAGCTACACTACGTGCTGGTTTGCTCTACCTATGCTGAGAACTGGGCTCAGCAAAGCCAAAGCATCCATTTTTTTCAGAGTTCTTTGAAGTGCGCACTGATGCACCAGATCTGCTTGCTGAAGAAGGTTCTAAGAAGAATAAAACCCTTCTAATCAACAGCAGCAAGAAAAGGCTTGAGAAACATTCCAACTGGCCTAGCTCAGTTGGTACACCCACGAACTACTGAAATACAGCCCTTAGTTCGACTCTAGGTGTAATAAGATGAACAGAACAAGACAATTCTGAATAACCTGGCGTCAGTGCAATGATGATATCTCAAGGCCATCGCGCTTTTCTCAGAAAAAAGAAAGAAAAGGCTGCAAACGAGAGCTCGGATAAAAAAGGGAAAAAAAGTAACAAGGAATGGTGCAGAGCAGAATGCCTGAAACCAGACAAAGGGAAAGCAGAACCTTGTGGATGCCAGACAGAGCCCTACTTGGGCTGACAAATCTGTCTCAGCAATGGAAGGACAGAAAGGTGATAAGAGGGAAATACCATGAAGAGATGACAGGCCTTCACTTCCCTACCTGCTATCTGGAAGTTCAAGCTCAATCCGCTTCCCATCATTGAGGTGCACAATACAAATTCTAGCCTGGCCCACAGGAATTTCCACCTGCAAGCAAAATCAAATCCATATAAGTGTGTTAATATTTCCCTTTTCTTAGGAGGACGTGGGGAGAAATTTTAGCAAATAACTTGTACTATCACAAAAAGGAGACAGACACTTTCAGTCAGAAGATGACCTCTGCCGGCGTTGCTCACAATGAACTCCACAAAATGAACTACATTCTTCTA